AAACAGCCACATTTCATTCACAAGGTAGATAATAAAATGTTGGTTGAGGAACTCTGGGGAAAGCGAATAAGCGAAAATATTGAAGAAGACAAGGCAATTAAAAAAATAATAGCCAACTCGATTTTTGGCTTGTTGGAAAAAAGTAAGAACAGCAGTCAGAGATCATTCGTTTTTAATGATCTCAATGAGGCGATCAGCCTTCAGGCAGATGCAGGGGGGAAGTTAAACATGATGAGCAGGAATACTGCCAAGTGGGTTGAGGAATATGATGATAATGGCATGTGGTGCCGTGATAGAGAAGTATCTGAACAAAACGACAATTTATATTATATTCTGAATGTGGTTGATAGGTGCGAGTTGTCCAATGGGTTTCGTTTTATTAAAGAAATGCTTTTGCAGTATCATAATTTCAAAATGCAATGCGCATATCAAAAATTGACAGAGAACAATGTTAAGGTATTGAGTGTCAAATGCGACGCTTTTGTCGTGGACTGTTCGGGTTTTAATAAGTTTGGTTTGAGAAAGACTCAGCAGTTGCTAGATTTTCACGATGGGATCGGTGGGTGGAAATTAGCCAAGACTCACGATGAGATCCATCATACAGGAAAGCAGTTGTATGAACAGAAGAAGTGTGAATATGTTGATATCCCGATTGTCAAAAGTAAGAGAGTTAACATCATTAATGAGTATGATGAAAATGAATTGGTTGAACTTGTTGAGAAATATAGGTGCTTGATGATTAAGGCAAATTCGCAGGAGCGGGGAAGTCCACCATCTGCAAGAACATGGAGAGACTCAAGGGTTATAAAGTGTTGTTCGTGGTTCCTACCAATAATCTGGGTTTGGAGTGCGAAGTGGAAAGCGTCACTGTAAATAAATTCTTCGGTATAGCAGTCAATGACGAGAAGCTAGATAAATACGATCATTCGATGTTTGATGTCATTGTGTTTGATGAGATTTGTTTTAATAATACCTTTGTATTGGCAAAAATTAAGGGCTTTGTAGAGCAACATAGGGCTAATAAAATCATATTAGCTACTGGTGACGCCAAGCAATTGAGCCCTATAAAAGCACTGACTAACACTAAGAAACACGAGATTTATATGAATGAATGTATTGATAGCATTTTTCCTCATCATTTGTTTTTGGAAGAGTGCAAGCGATTGAAGACTCAGGAGGACAAGGATAAACTTAAAAGCATTTATGCCGACATCTTTGAGCATGAATTGTCTCTACATGATGTCATCAATAAGTATTTTAAATATACTGATGACATCACAGGAACAGAAAGCAATGTCGCATATTTAAATAACACTTGTAGAGAGGTTTCAAGGCAGATCAGGAAACGACAGGGCAAACAAAATGAGTTTGAAGTCGGCGAGATCATGATATGCAGAGAGTATAGGAAGACAAAAACCTATAAGTTAAATGTGAATTTTAGGTATGAGATAATTAATATTTCCGATCCTTGGATTACCATTGCTAATATCAAAACACGAGAAGAGATTACATTACATATTGGTATCTTGAGAAGTCATTTTATCTTTGCCTTCTGTTATACTTGTCATTCTGTTCAGGGGTGTTCCATTGATGACGATGTCGTGATATTTGATTGGAACCATCATCTGATAACTCGCGAGTGGCTTTGGACGGGAATCACTCGGGCAAGGGATTTAAACAGAGTAAAATTTTACAAATACAGTAGTGATTTAAATGAAGAGTTTAACGCAAAATGCATTATGAATTATTTTGATAGAAAGGTGTTAGCATACAAGGAACAGGATCGTAAAAATGGCTTTGGTATTCCAAAAGAAAATTATGTAGATGCCGAATGGTTGAAGGACAACGTCAATGGCAAGTGTGCCAACTGTGGCTGTGGTTTCGTGTTGTCAATGGATTCTGGCAATATAAATTCTAATCTGACTTGTCAAAGGTTATGTAATGATCTTCCCCATACAAAGGATAATGTCATTGCCTTCTGTGCTTCTTGTAATAGATGCTTCAGTGATAAAATCACATATTGATAACTATGTTGTTTATAAAGATTTAAAGAATAGATATCTTAAGGTAAATGAGGATATGAACAAATATCAAAACGGCAAGATTTATCAAGTGGTAGACGTAGGGTTCAACAAGTGCTATATAGGATCAACGACCGAAGAGTTAAGCCGCAGAATGGCAAGACACAGGGAGCGCTACAAAGATTATTGCAAAGGAGGCGGGCGAAAGTATGAAAGGTCCATGATGTTGTTTGATGAATACGGACTGGATAATTGCAAGATATGATTGATCAAAGACTTCCCTTGTAAGAGTAGAGCAGAATTAGAAAGAGAGGAAGGAACTGAAATCTTAAATAAAATTGATATGTGTGTAAATAAAAATGTTGTGGGAAGGTCACGCAAGGAATTCTACCACGACAACCGCGAAAGGCTTTTGCAAGAGAAAAAGGAGCACAGAATAAACAACATTGATAGATACAAAGAAAAGGACAAACGATACACTGAACACAATAAAGAACAAATTCGTGAAAGACATAGCCGGTGGTATCAACAGAACAAGGATGAGGTCAACGAAAAAAGTAGGGCAAGGTATCAACAAAACCGAGAAAAATATTTGGCGCAACAAAAGCAACCCTTCCATTGTCACTGTGGTGCTTCTTGTGTGTGGAATGTCAAGGCAAGACACTTCAAATCTCAGAAGCATCAGCAATGGTTAAAGCAACAAGAGCCAGAACAAGAACCACAAGTAGAACAAGAAAATTAAAATATCATCTTTATTATAATGAGTAGTTCTAACAAAGATGATATAATTTCCAATGTGTATTACGATCGTGCGGGGTTTGGTTCTTTAAGAACAACTCTAGTAGACAGTAAGAAAAAGGATCCTTCCATCACAATGCAAGATGTTAAGGAGTGGTTTGAAGAGAATGTGCAAAGGAAAAAACAACTATCCGGATACAACTCATTCATCGCTCCACATGTTCTGTATGAATTTCAGCTTGATTTGTTCTTTATTTCAAAAAATGATTTACAAACTCAAAAATTTAGTATAGGTTTAGTTCTTATTGATGTTTTCTCCCGTAAAGCCGCGGTGATGCCTATCATGTCAAAGCAACCTGCCGACATCACTGCTGGGATAATGGAAGGTTTGAGCAAACTCGGGAAGCCCCACCTCATTTACTCTGATGACGAAGGGAGTCTTAACAATCAGGATCTTGTTGACTTTTTCAAGGATCAACAAATAGAGAATTACAAAACAAGAGGGCACCCTCATTTTGTTGAGCGCTTCATCCGCACGTTCAAGGACATGCTGTTTAAAAGGGTTGATGCAGACGAGAAAAAGGGAAAGGTTAATATACAATGGGTTGATTATATCCCCGAGGTCATGCTGACATATAACAGTAAAATGGTTCATTCTGCCCACAATATGACTCCAAACGATGCCCACAAAAAGGGAAACCATCTTGAGGTCAAGTTGAAGCTTGAGATGAACAGAATCAAAACCCGTAAATATCCCCCTGTTAGGGTTGGCGATGAGGTCAAAATATACCGCAAAAAAGGGATTTCCGAGAAAGAAAGAACGAGCAACTGGAGCAGTGTCAAATACAAGGTTTCAAGGGTTGAAAAAAAACTTGGACAAGACTATTATTATGTCCAAGGTGTGACTCGTGCTTATTTGAGATCGGAAATTCTGAAGGTCTGAAGGAGGGGGCATCAATTCAGCACATGTCACCAAATTGTGTTGCAGTCATGCTGGCTACGGTTTGTAGTCATGTTGGCTACGGTTTGTAGTCATGTTGGCTACGGTTTGTAGTCATGTTGGCTACCGTTTGTAGTCATGTTGGCTACCGTTTGTAGTCGTGTCGACTACATTTGTAGTCATGTTGGCTACCGATTGTAGTCGTGTCGACAACGACAGTCATGTTGGCTACCGTTTGTAGTCGTGTCGGCTACAGTTTGTAGTCATGTTGGCTACAACTATTTGGGGTTGGAACGCTAGGCCTTTCCCATCCGCATTTTGCCATCCATATTTTACTGGGATTGTTTCCTTGATTTGGGTTAACGGTTTTAATTCTCCCTTTTCCATTGGTTAACCATTTTTTGGGGCGAACATAGGGTTCTTTTTTAGACTGTTTGTATTTGTTGGAAATGGGAAAGGGTCTCAGGTTGGATCAAGGGAGGAATTATTGAGATCTTGGGGTTGCGATCTTGGGAATGGAAAAATGTTGGTATGTAGCTTGGATTTTTTTTGTGGGATTTGTTGAGGTGGTATGTAGTTATGATTGTTGTTATTGAATGAGCATAAGGGTGATGTTGAGATGGGGTAAGAAATGAAGATGGGTGTGTGAATATGTGTTTTTTGGTGTTGGAGTGGGTGGGTGATTGAATTTGAATGTTGAAAATAGGCTGTTTTAGTGGGCGTATTTGAATTGTGCCCAAAAGTGTGGGGGGGACCCTAGGACCGGATGGCAAAATGCGGACGGGAGAGGCCTCCACTAACTCTGCTGCCCCCCCCCAACCACCCCGCTAGTTTTTAGACTTTTTGCAGAGATTTAATTGCACCTATTCGAAACATCACTTCTGCAAACAGCATGATGGGGGGGGGCTGCCGTCCCCCCAACCCCCCCGCTACTTTTTACTGTATTTTCTTCTTTTACAGTGATTGAAATGCCCTCCTATTTGAATCATCATTTTTTTGACCCCGGGTTGCCCACGATTTGTTGGTGATGCTAGGGATGTTGGTCGGACATGCGGGGGATGTTGAAAACGATGCTGGGGATGTTGACGGGCTTGTGTAAAATGCGTCTACGACACTTTTCTGGCCCGGACGAAAAACGAGAAAAAACAGTGAAAAAAACCCAAAATAAATCCGCACCCAAACTAAAATGGGTGGTGCACTTATCCCAAATGGTACCGTTGGTTGTGAACCATGGCCACGTGTTGGGCTTGCTGGATCGTCAGGGAGGGGAGCCTTCTAAGCGTTTCGGAGCTTGTGCCAAGGCGGAAGACTTACATCCTGATTGCAGCCAATATTTTCTGGCTGAGCCCAGAGAGCAGAACTGTCTTGCTGCTCACATTGGTGATATACTTCCGCTACATGCACTTGAGAAGCTTCAGCTGAAGTGTTCGGGTTGCCAACAGTCATGGAAGTGGACAGGGCCCCCTAAAATGATGTTTCCTTGGTTCATGACAATAGGGCCGTTTCGAGAAGCCATGCGGAAGACTGTTTCAGTCTGAAAGTGATTTATGATTTATCCATGTATCTATCTATTCATCCATTTATTCCTGTGTTTGTTTTGTTTTGGCTGAGTTCTCCTTTTGGATAGTATCATTCTCTGGCATGCAGCGAGGGAAGCACAAAGGTTAGTGGAAAACAATGGGGACCCCAAAGAAGCAACAAATCAAAGGGGGAGCTAATTCTGGGGAAGTTAAGGCCTCCTTGGGAACCGACCCCCGTGTTGAGAAGCATTCCCATGTGATGCAATCTGAGGAGATCTGCCCTTTGACAACCGCGCGTACCAGGGGGTGGACCGCCTGCAGTTCGACTCCTTGGCGACCTTCACTTGGCTGCTGCTGGGCCGGCTCTTCCGCACCATGCGTCTTGGCTCACGGCTGGGTGGACTTGGTGGCTCACGGCTGGGCTCGAATCAACCAAACGAGTAGGCAATTCACTTTGCGAGGCGGAGCGGGGGGGTCGCATGGCGCTTTGGCAGGGAGACACATTTGGCATAAAGGTTGATTTGTGGTTTGGCCTTTTTTTCTTTGTCTTTCTTTCTATCATCTTTCACGTGGCCTTCAGACAAGACTGGATCAAGATCAATGGACGGAAAGAGGACTAGTTTGAAGGCTCCCACCCCCAGTCCTCACAAGCTCTGACAGCCCTTGACAACTCATGATGCACAGCTTTGGAGTATCATCCAGCTTTTGTGAGCACCAATTAGGCTGCAGCGGACTGAGAACGCCATTCCTCTAACCTATTCGCCCGTCTTCTACATTCCAGCTGCCTTCAACTTTTTCGTGCTGCTGTGCAGACTCTTGGCCTCGGGGTAGCACATATTCGGAAGGCAAGGTGGTTGGTTCAGCTCTCGCGTCAGGTTGGCACTTGCACCTATCAGTCAGTGGGAGCTGCAATCAGAGCTTGAGTTCGGCCTAAGGAGCTAGCTACCTGGTCCTTCGGGAAATGATTTGGCCTTTGCAGTCTCCTCCTACGCTGTTGCTCACTGAATTCATTTTGCAGTGTGGCAGCGTTGCCCGCGTGATGCGTGGGAAGCATTGCCTTGTCACCTGCGGGCGAAGCTGAGGTTGCCCGAATGCTTGAGGGCACGTCTTGATCACAGAGTGACCTTCTCGTTTATCCCGCCAGCGGGCTTCTCAGTAGGCTTTTCACCAAAGGGGCCGGGATGGTTGGGCGTGTGATGTGACTTTTTTCCCTATCCGCAGGAAGGCTTGGACGGACACCAACGCGAGCATTTCTTGGGATCCTAGCCTTACTCAGTGGCTGCCAGATGGCCGTGCAGCATGCAATGCATGGTGAGCCCATGTGCTGCCCCGCGTTTGAGTTGCGCTGAGGAACTGAGCATGGAAGCTTGTCTGGCCTGGCGGGTACGGTTGCAGAAGATTGGAATCTAACATCGGTGGCGGCCTTGCCAAACCAGGAGTGCGCGACAGTTGGCAATTCCAAGTGAGGGCGGGCAGGGTCAGCTAATTGACCAGTTTTGGAGGCCACGCTTGGCAGGAGCGTGAAGCCCTGAAGACTATCATCACGGAGACGGTGGAAGTGTTGCTGCGGCGCCATGAGATTGTACACAGCGAGGCCTGGCATGGCTCGCTCCTAAGGAGTAGGAGTATACCGCCTGTTCATAGCCCTTGGCTTTGCATCATTGTCCCGAACGCTCGTGCGGGGAGTGATGCTGGATAACAGCTTTGCGCGGGATTGCTTTGCTGAAGGCCACGTGAATGGGATACGTATGGCCTCAAAACGATTCCCATGGTCCATGCAACATTTGCTTCAGAGCACGAAAAGGGTATGGGTCAAAATGTAACCACCAGGGGACCGCAGGTTTTAGTCCATGGTTCCATTTACCAGGGTTTCATTTTGGGTACCGATGTTTGACCCACAGGCAAAAGAGGGAGGCAGGTCAAACAAAAGGCTGAAGCTTGCGGAGGCCCCACAGGTCATCTACCTGCGCCTCAGCTGCACATGCGGTTTCTTCCCCAGCATGACGTGCAACCACTGCTAGTTGGACTGATTCAACTAAAGGGGGGCGGCGTGGGTTTCTGGGTAGTGCATGCTGATTCAAAAACGCTCACATGCCCCGCCAAGCTTCCTACCAACTTGAGCCTGTTCAGTGTAGCCTGGCTTTATGCCATGCGAAGAACAGCTGGTGCGAAACTTGAAGCCTCTATGTACGCGCTTTTCCTGCATGAAGCTTGGGCAAAAAGAAGAGGCTGTGAGATGATGCTCACAGCAAGCACATGTGTCATGGTTTTTGGCCATTCCATGATGCAACGCTGAAAGATCGAGAACAGATTACATGCTCTCATGATCGTTTCCGGTCGTTTTATGGGTTTGTGTCCATACCATTTTACTGGTGTGTTTCAGTGAATCTCCGACATGCAGATATTTTGGCATTCTGTGCCAGTTTTGCGCGCCCTCCCTGACAAGGCTGAGGTTGAGGCAGACCAAATCGGTTTTGTTGGGAGGTGCGCTGAACTAGCTGAAGGGTATCAAGGGCACCAACTGAAACCCCGTGCCAAATCTAAACATGTGGGTATGCAGCATACGCATCAGGGGCTCAGGCGCCCGAAAACAGGAAACTGGTCATAAGAAGTGGTTTCTAGAACTCGACAGGCAAAGCGTGACTCAGGCCAACTTTCCTGTTGCAAATGGAGCGCGTCCTGGTGGCTGCCATGCTCCCTGGCTGCGCGACTTGAGTGTCCATGGCTGTTTCATGATTGTTCATAATGCCAGGTGCTATGCTGTGAAATCTCGCATCATTAACGATGAGTTGGTGCAGACGAGAGATACTTGGGGCAAATGGGTGTCCGGCATAATGACGGACACGATGCTGGCCTGAAATTGTGACAGCTGACGCGCTCTCATCGCTTGGCAATTGGAGCCATGTGGCCTTTGCAACGTTGCCCAGTTGCAAACCGTAAGGAAGGGCTACCTAAAAGACGTGATCCTGGGCCGGGACAGGCTTTACATTGCAAGAGCACTTTGGTCGCGCGCTGTTCGGTTGGCCGGAATCTTAGCCCCCAACTTGGTTGAATTGATCCTGCACCAGGAGGGGCATTCCAGCATCATGAGGACGGACAGCCACAGGCCCGTCTTGTAGCTTCAGAAGCCGGGCTTGCGCGTGGCTTGCTCCTCCCCCTTTTTTTGGGGGGTTGCAGCTTGCGGACAGGAAATGGCACGATGCCACCGGCGAACACCTCGCCCAAGCAACCCACTTGGTGAGGCGGCCGGTGAGTACGGAGGACCGCTGTCGCCGACTTGGCTTTTCGGCCTTCGTCGCTCGCGACGGCAGGAGATCCAGATCGCGCTGTATAGCCTATGGCCGGACCTGGTGGACCCCATCACCAACCGAAAGCACGCAGAGCCTTGAGCCCGCAGATCCACCGCCACAAAAACAGAATGCGACGGAGAGTGCCTGAGTGCCAAACCAAGGAAAGGAACCACTTGCGGGAATTGGTCGATGCGCATAAAGGTATCATCGATATGCAGCTTGGTCTATCCATGGGCAAATGCCTTTCCATTGCCTTTAGGTACAGTAGCAAAGCAGCTGCTGCGCACATGGCCATCCTTGCTTTGGGTTGATGGGTCAGGGTGCTCCTGTCAGGCATGGGCAAGTGTCGCATATTTTTGATTCTGCTGGTCATGCAGACAACATCGTCAGGCGCGGACAGCTGTTTCTTTTCTTGGCTTTGATGATGCGGAGGCTTCACACGTGATATCACTCCTGCCCGCACGCATGCAAACATTAACACAGAGAGACGCAGTATACAGGATTTTGATAAGACGCATTGGCTTTTTGGACGCTGCGTTGACGTGACACCAGCTCGCAACCTCCTGGTTGGGAGGTAATGCTGAACCCCAGGTCCCAATGCAGGCAATGTCATGCAATGTAGTGCAAAGTGCGCTCGTATGTATGTCATGTATGTATTTACTGTGTGTATACAATGCATGCAGTCAATGTAATGCATCGTATTTGTCAAAGCAAGTTTAGAAGAAACTTCCGTGTTGCGGTAATTAGCGTTCGGAGCGCGTTCGGCCACTCTCGGAGCCGGGGCCCATTGGCACGGACGCGCGCGCTTTTCGCGGCAGGTAGGGAATTTGTGGAATGTGCGCAGTGCTTTCGCAAGGTCAAGCGCATATTTCGTGGCAGGCGCAGCGCTGGTGAGGTACAGATTTCGCGGCAGGCGCATCGCTTTCACAAGGTCAGGTGCAGATTTCGTGGCGGGCGCAGCAATTTCGCAAGGTGCAAACTGCGTGGCAGGCGATGCAGCCTTGCAAGGTTGATGGGTAGATGGATGGATGGATGGATGGATGGATGGAGAGAGGGAGAGAAGACAGAAAAGAAAGAAACAAAAGAAAGAAGGAAAAAAAAGAAAGAAAGAGAAGAAAACAAAGAAAGAAAGAAAGAAAGAAAGAAAGAAAGAAAGAAAGAAAGAAAGAAAGAAAGAAAGAAAGGAAGGAAGGAAGGAAGGAAGGAAGGAAGGAAGGAAGGAACGAAAGAAAGAAAGCAAAAAAGAAAAGAACAGAAAAGGAAGGAAAGAAGGAAGGAAGGAACGAACGAACGAACGAAAGAAAGAAAGAAAGAAAAGACAAGAAAAGGAAAGAAAATAACAGGAAAGGAAACACACAAAAAAGAAAGGAAATGAAAAGAAAAGAAAGAAAGAAAACAAGACAAACAAATCAATAAGCAAATAATTAGTGAATGCATGAACGAATGAACGAACGAACGAACGAATGAATGACATGAAATGAAATGAAATGAAATGAAACGAATGAAATGAATGAATCAATGAATGAATGAAATGAATGAAATGAAATAAATGAATGAATGAATGAACGAATGAATGAATGAATGAATGAATGAATGAATGAATGAATGAATGAATGAATGAATGAATGAATGAATGAATGAATGAATGAATGAATGAATGAATGAATGAATGAATGAATGAATGAATGAATGAATGAATGAATGAATGAATGAATGAATGAATGAATGAATGAATGAATGAATGAATGAATGAATGAATGAATTGAATGAATGAATGAATGAATGAATGAATGAATGAATGAATGAATGAATGAATGAATGAATGAATGAATGAATGAATGAATGAATGAATGAATGAATGACTGAATGAATGAATGAATGAATGAAGGAAGGAATGAATGAATGAATGAATGGAATGAAATGAAATGAAAAATGAAATGAAATGAAATGAAATGAAATGAAATGAAATGAAATGAAATGAATGAATGAATGAAGGAAGGAAGGAATGAATGAATGAACTGAAATGACATGAAATGACAAGAACTGACATGAACTCACATGAACTGACATGACATGAATGAAGGAATGAAATGAAATGAAATGAAATGAAATGAAATGAAATGAAATGAATGAATGAATGAATGAATGAATGAATGAATGAATGAATGAATGAAAGAAAGAAATGGAATGAATGGAATGAATGGAATGAATGGAATGAATGGAATGAATGGAATGAATGAAATGAATGAATGAATGAATGAATGAAATGAATGAATGAATGAATGAATGAATGAATGAATGAATGAATGAATGAAATGGAATGAAATGAAATGAAATGAAATGAAATGAAATGAAATAAATGAAACAAAATGAATGAAATGAAATGAAATGAAAAGAAAGGAAAGGAAAGGCAAGGAAGTGAAATGGCATGAGATGAAATGAAAAGAATGAATGAATGAATGCGTGAATGAATGAATGAATGAATGAAATGAAATGAAATGAAATGAAATGAACTGACATGACATGAAATGACATGAAATGACACGACATGACATGAAATGAAATGAAAGAACAATGAAATGAATGAATGAGTGAGTGAATGAATGAATGAATGCATGAATGAATGAAAGAATGAATGAATGAATGAACGAATGAATGAATGAATGAAAGAATGAATGAATGAATGAACGAATGAATGAATGAAAGGAAATGAAATGAAATGAAATGAAATGAACTGACATGACATGAAATGACATGAAATGACATGACGTGACATGACATGAAATGAAATGAGCTGACATGACATGACATGAAATGACATGAAATGACATGACATGACAGGAAGTGAAGTGAATGAAAAATGAAATGAAATGAATTGAAATGACATGAAATGAAATGAAATGAATGAATGAATGAATGGATGGATGAATGAATGAATGAAATGAAATGGAATGAAATGAAATGAAATGAAATGAAATGAAACAAAATGAATGAAATGAAATGAAATGAAATGAAATGAAATGAAAATGAAATGAAATGAAATGAAATGAAATGAAATGAAATGAAATGAAATGAAATGAAATGAAATGAAATGAAATGAAATGAAATGAAATGAATGAAATGAATGAAATGAAACGAAATGAATGAAATGAAATGAAATGAAATGAAATGAAATGAAATGAAATGAAATGAAATGAAATGGAATGGAATGGAATGGAATGGAATGGAATGGAATGGAATGGAATGAATGAACGAATGCATGAACGAACAAAAGAAAGAAAGAAAGGAAACCAGAAAGAAACAAGGAAGGAAGGAAAGAAAGAAAGAAAGAAGGAAATAAAGAAAGAAAACGAGAAACAAGAAAGAAAGAAATTCAACAAGACAGAAATACATACATAAAGAAAGACAGCAATAAATACAGAACGAAAGAAAGCAAGAAAGAAAGAACAAACATGAAAGAAAGAAAGAAAGAAAGAAAGAAAGAAAGAAAGAAAGAAAGAAAGAAATACAGAAATACATAAATAATGAAAGACAGAAGGGAAGAAAGAGAAATAATAAAGAAAGAAGCAATGAATGAACAAAAGAAAGAAAGAAAGAAAGAAAGAAAGAAAGAAAGAAAGAAAGAAAGAAAGAAAAGACAGAAAGAAAGAAAGAAAGAAAGAAAGAAATAAAGAAAGACAGAAAGAAAGAAAGAAAGAAAGACAGAAGGGAAGAAAGAGAAAGAATAAAGAAATAAGCAATGAATGAACAAAAGGAAGAAAGGAAGGAAGAAAGGAAGGAAGGACAGGAAGACAGAAAGAAAGACAGACAGACAGACAGAAATAGAGCGACAGAGAGTAAGAGAGAGAGAGAGAGAGAGAGAGAGAGAGAGAGAGAGAGAGAGACAGCTCTCGGGCCAGGAGGAAACTGAGAGGCGGGGATCTTGCCAGTTTCTACTGCTTCCTTGGGGGATTTGACCGAGTTCTAGGAGGGTGGGCTTGACAAGTTTCTAGTGGGAATTTGGCCGGTTTCTTGAGGGGGGCTGGGGGCAGCTGGAGCATGGGTTTGGGCGGGGTGAGGCTGTAAGACTGCAAGGCAACATCCAGTATATGCACCATTGCACCGCTATCTGCCCAACCAACACGCGCGCGCTCGGAAAGGTGTGCGGAAATCTCTCACGCTCGCACAGGTTGCCCATGCGCGTGCTCACCCCGCCATCGGGTTCGGTTCATCAATGGTTGCCACTGCAGCCTTGAGCTTTTCTAGGCGGAAGACACGCTCTATAAACGTCCGCCGGATCAGTGAAGCTGATGAAGGTGATGACGGGCTGCTCGACAGACAGGGTGGAAGATGTGGATTTTGTGCGAGGTCACGAGGTCGTGCGAGTTGATTTCCTCTGCCAGGGTTTTGTTTTGGAGCAGATATTGTGAAGGAGTTTTTCAAGGGCTGTGGTTGAAAGTTCCTGTTGAGGACGTCCGGCCTCTCCAGCGATGGCACCCACACGGTTGAGTCGTGGGAGCAGGCCAAGGCCGCGCAGCCAAGGGGACCTCCCAGAAGGGGTAGTATCTTGTTTGGTTTTTCTTGAGCATGACACCAAAAGCCACTCCGTCAATCTCCAAAGGTGTGTTCGGACTGTGCCCCTGCAGGACATCCTGCTGGGTGACTCGGCCAACCTCGGCGACCTGCTTAGGGATGTTGGGGGTCCTGACGAATGCTTGGGTGTGGCTGTGCGAATCCCCGCCGACATCGCCCATGCTGGCCGGAACGGCGTGAGCAAGGCCGCTGCCGGCAGGGCCTCAATGGTGTAGAGTCCCCTCGCCTATAAGCCATGGGGTTTTGAGTCTGGGGCGGGCCTTCGGCGGTTTTTGCCTCGGCGGATCCTGCAGCTGCTGCTCATTTGGGCGAGCCAGTGACATGTCCAGGTGCCTGGCATGAGCCTGGTCACACCGCTGAGTCCCTCCTCAAAGGTGGCGCTCTGAGCCTGTGTTTCACCTGCCAAAACGTGTCACACTGGTGGTTGCCTGTGTCCTTGCCCCACGCTGCAACAACCATTTCACCTGTCTGGACGAACATACTACAGCAGGCCGACTCCTGCCAGAGGGGCAGCAACTGGCAGCTTGCTCCTGGCAAGGTGCCCATGGGCAAACCAGACCATTGAAACTGTGGACATGTTCCACGTGACCACAAACCCGTGATTCTCGTGGATTTTCGACTGCGCCAATGGGCCGGTGGAGCTCCCCCGGCTTGAATAGAAGCCGGAAAGGCGGCGCGGCTTGTGTGTTTTTGAACGGGTTTGGCAGCACGTGCTGCTCGGCGCGCGAGAAATGATGGTCTTCCGTGCAGGTAAAACCGTTCTTGCACCCTGCCAAACGGGGAGTTTAAGCTTTCGCTTAGCTTTATTGCTGGTTTCTATCTTGCCGAGCACACTGGACTGAGCGAGTGCTTGCGTAGCATGGCGCAATGCCTTTGCCAGTTTCAAAGATTTGTGGAGACCGCGCCGCCGGTGGCGCGTGCCTCAGGCTTGGGGAGTGGGCGTGGCAGGGCGGCTCTTGAAACACTGGCCCACCGCGCAGTCCCAGAAAACAGTGGGCAGCATCCCATCATGCATATGGGTGTGCTTTTTTTGGGGGGCCACCTAAAAAGGGTCGGGGGTTTCGGTTTCCTTTGGGTTTTGCTTGACAACCGCCACAAAGGGCACCTGGAAAAAGGCAGCCACATGCATTCAAGTTCCAATGCATGCTTGCAAGCTGCCAGCAGAAAGGGCCTTCGCCTAGGCCAGTTTCTCGATGGTGATTCGCGTGTGCGCGCTCAGCTTGCCAGCAATGCGATTTCGCTCCCGCAACGATTCGCCAAGCTCTGGCCGCACGCATTGCATTGGCGTCTCGTTGGCCAGAACATTGGACAGGAGCATGCCGCTTATCCAATTTGGGCATGGAGCTATGGCTCCATTTTGGGGCACCTATTTTGATGTTCACTAGGGGTACACGGTTTTGACCCAGAACCATTTGACTTTCTGAGGCTTGGGAGACGCTGGCCTGGGTGGCCGGCTCCGAAGTTTGTCCCTGTGTTCCTGCTTTGCTACAAGGATTAACAAGGGGTCAACATTGTGTTCCAGAGCTGTAGCAGGCAAGTGTGGACATTAGAACGGGAAATGATCGCTTATGGTCGGCTCACACACACACACGTGTTTGGCGCAGGGACCCACCCTTATGTGGGCTTGGGCAGATGCGTTGGCATAAAGGCGGCTTGCAACCTGTAGGCCCGGAACAACCCCTGTGCCTTCATTCAGCCTTGACAGGAGAAGCTCACGGGAGTTGCCATCTGTTGGCAGGATTCAAGTTCAGCCAATAGCTGTCAAGACAGAAGGGATTCTAGTTGTGTTCCTGGCTTCCCCGCATGTTAGATTGTGCTGCTTTCTGGAACGTCGACCAGATGTAACAGAACCGGAAAGCCCCCAGCAAAGTGAGCGCGTTCTGCCATGGCTGTGGCGCAAGCTGCCCACGTTTGCTGCTTGTGTGCCCGGAAGTTTGCAGATGCTGCAGCCCTCACGGCTCACGCGCCTGGGCAAAGCGTTAGTGGTAGTGACTGGGTTTGCCGCTGAGCGGCGCACACCCTGGCAGAGTTTTGCATGGCAGGAACAATACTCGCAGCTCCACAAGCAGAACTTGGACCTGCAGGATGATGTCATTCGGCAGCTGCGGCCTCAGCGCGTGAGAAAGCCTTCCAGCCGAAATGTGGCCGCCTGCCCTCCACGAAATGCGTAGTTGCCTCTATGGTTGGCCAACGTGGCATGCACGTTTCGGCCCATCAATGCCCATCTCGCCTCTGCACCCGGAGCCTGTGTCACTGCCATTAGGCACAAGGAGGAGCTCATCAGCAGCATCAATCGCCTCAGGCAGCAACTGCTGGAAGCCATGTCGTCTTCGAATCCGGCTCTTTGGACATAACACGTCAGAGACAAATGGCCTCAAATGGCCGCCTCCAATCATGTGTTTGTTGAGAAGAGGGCATGGTACAAGCCCGAGTGTCGCAGTGGTCACCCAATCAATGTGTGTTTTCATCCTGGGATTGCCTGTAGTCAATCCACTGGTTGACTTTATGCTTTGTCCTGCTGCCGGTTGGGCCGGGATGCGGGTGTCTTCTTTGAAGGTATGCCTGGGGTTGTTTTGAGGGGAGACCAGCGGACACCATCATTTGGAGCATCCTTCAGGGGAAACCATCATCTGGAGGGCCTCCGACTTGGCCTCCGCATCTCTATCCATCCCAGGTGGCAAAAAGCCGCGCCGGGTCGCTCGAGACCCAGCTGCGCCAGCAGCTGGGCGAGTTTGGCCAGGCCGGCGTGGCCTTTCCATTGGGTGGATGCATTTGGGTATGGGTCAAAATTAAAGCATCAGGAATTGAACCGCAGGTTTTAGTCTTTGTTTCCATATACCAGGGTTCAATTTTTGGGTACCTATTTTTGACCCAGCCATTTTGGGGCTGCGTGAAGCCTCGATTTCTCCCAAGGCAACCCTCAGACCCCGCAAGCGGGCGCGAAGCTGTCGACCTTTGCAGCCCTCAGGCGCAGGAGGCGATCGAGTACCGCCGGGGCGTCACGGGTGCGGACCCTGCCAAGCTGGCTCGGGGCTCGCAGGCCCGCGGCTTTGCGCGCGCGTGTTGCCGGCAGCGCATGCAGAAACGGGGGGGGAGCCGGCGTTTGTTGCCAGGGTCTGCGGCCGCTGCGGCAGGAGATGCGCTGCGGCCGACTGCTGCTGGAAGCAGGTGCTGCCGCTTGGATGCCGCAGACCTTTGCTCTGAACTGATTTGTAAGCTCCCCTTTAAAAATTGAAGGTTAGTCAAACCCTTTCCCCGAAAGGCTTTGAAGAGCTGGAGGTTGGACAGGTTGGGCGCATGCGCGGCCTCTGCCGTTACACTGCCGGCACACATGCTTGGCCGCCCGTGTAGACTTGCCATTGCAACATTCCTGGTTTGCAAACTTGCGGGGGATCACGGTGATATTGCGCAAATGACTTGCGTGAAACAAGCTGGTGTTGGCCCTTGCGGCAAACAGTGCCAGTATTCAGTCCTTTCTCAAGCCCATCGGCATCCAGGCAGATTCTTTACAGAAGTTTGTAGACACTCAGCTGACTTGTAACCTGGGAAACAAAGGGTGTGACATGCCTAACGATGCTGCTGTTAGCAGCCCTGCAAGATTGCACTGAGTGAGATTCCGGGGGGGGGGGGGTTGAAAGCGCTCTGCAGCAGAGGCCTGCTGGCAGGGGGGCAAAGAAACCAACGAGGATCGCTTCGTGCTGGACATCGCGGCTGTGGCATGCAGGGACCAAGGAAAAGAAAACAACAACATGGAATACTTGGTGTATCCCTCCAAAGTGATGGACGTCAGTTACCCGCCCCGCAAGTTTAACCTCTGGCTGGTGTGCAGGAGTCAAGGGGGTTCTCGCAAGTATATCCAAGGAGCTTCTGGCAGCAGATGGTGCTCGAGTCCCTGGAGTAATGGTCCTTGATGGGCATTCCGGCTCCCGATGTGTGGAACATCTTGCAGAGAGGCCGGCCGCATTTGTTCGGCGCGCATGCTGTTGGGGGCCCCTGTCCGGCACTCATCTCCACCACCCTTCCCTTCCACCTACTCAGGTCAAAACTGGGCTTGTCACGAGGGGCGCCTGGCCCGTTCTTTTCCTTGAGGGACAGGGTGGGGTCCCGGGCATTCTCCGTAAGATCGCGCTGG